CAGCCCATATGGGCTGCCATCGTCCCAGAAGCACATGTTGTTGGCAGCCCATATGGGCGGCCATCGGCGTGAATGTGTTAATGAATAATTAAGCCAGACTACCATGATTGCCCTTGAGATCCTCTACAGATCCGGAAGAAGGCCCCAAGTGATATGCAGTGCTTAAAGGCATGCCCCAGGATCACATTGGTGTGGCTCTTGCACACGAATGCGAATGTATTGGTGCGAAATGGGCCGGCAGTAAAGAAAAAAGAAAAGAATCCGTCGAAAACGCTTAGGTTAAGGCTTACTCACCTTCCTAATGCGCTGTGCTAAGGCAGCGCAGAGAGAAGAGAGTACGAGGCGAGAGAGTGCAATGAATGAGAGGGACCAGACAACAGCCTGCTGCAGACGTGGAACATTGCAGCTGTTGCAGCTGGAACATTGCAGCTGTTGCAGCTAACTTCGTAAGATATTAGCGCTCTTGCCGGGTGATTTTCATGCAAAGGAGGCTATATCTGTGATTGTATTCTGAGCCTCTCTTCTACAGACCGAAGGAAATCGTTTACAGGACTTTTGGCGGGGTTCGCCTTCAAGACGAAAACTAGCTAGCTAGCGCACATATAGGAGCCACATCATCCATGCAGTTTCTATGAAACCCTCTCCAGAGATGCCAATCCAAAAAGATTAACAATTACTTTTATCAGGCCGACGTTTCGGTGCTTTCACCTTCTACAGAGCCTGGAAAGTCGGAAGCCAAATGGCTCTCATATTCTAGTTGGGTGAAAGTTCCATCGGATCAAAAAAATGTAAGGCTATTAGAAGACCTTCACGACGAGGGGTGAACATTCAATGCGTAGGGCGTTCCAAAAGAGCCTTCCTTTAGACACCGTAACGCTTCCTTACCAACTGTTCCTTTCTTTCATCTAATTCAGCGTGACAACGTGACAGAAACCTATCTTATTTTGCACGCTAATTTGCGCGATCGAAGAATTTCAAAAAAATTTCATATAGATCAAGGAACAAATTTCACGAGAGCTCCGAGTTAACTTTCAAACTTGGCTCTAGTTTTCGGAAAAAGAGCCTCATTTCCTCGTCTTTCAGACGCTCTTCACCGTTTTTTTCTATTTTCGCGCCATTGTCAGAAATGCCGCGCTACACTTTACACATCAGCCAGCCCTTTGTCATTACCGCAATGGCGGTTGGAGTCATTAACTCATGCTCATCAAGTCAGAAGTGTTTAGAAAGGTCTCAAAAATCCATAAAATGCTGATTTTTCATTCTCTAAAGGGCGATGACTTCATGGGGCAAAAGAGGACGATGTAGTGACAGATGGGATATGTGGAAAAGCTCTTAAGAACAGAAAGGCTCATAAATCTGAGTAAACGATCGCCTACTGACCGTTGAATCGGGAAATCAACCACATACCGCGAACACTATCGATAGTAACGAGCAGTTACTGGACGAACACCATGGATGAAATAAACATGACGGTGATGGCGGTTGCCGGTGGGACGTGACGTCGGGGGGAGTGGGGGCATTGGGCAATTCATTACGGACAGCCGCTGTCCTGGAACACAATGAATCATTACTTTGCTTTGCATACACATTACTACAAACAAACAGTTTGAATTTCGGACTAAAGAATTACCCATAAATTCGCACACCAAGAGGAAAATGCGATAATGTGTTGGTGAATGGTCTCACATAATCATAGGGGCCCTAAGGCGCTATAGCAAGATGCTGGGGCATTGCCACGGCAACGCATTCAAAACCGAGTCAAAATACCTCTTTTCAAAGCAAGAGACCTAGCAAGGTTTTTACCTTCGACACTAATGGTGTGGGGGGAGCGGGCGCTAGTCTATCAAATACATAAGAAATGTGATTGCCAACAAAAAAAAGTCACTGGAAAGTAGCCGCTCAACAGGGAGCTGAACGCTTTGAAGTGGGCGTGGTGAGTCGGTCGAGGGATTGCTTACGCCGAGTCAACCACGCCATTCTTTCGAAGCGCTTCGCACACCATGGTGCCGCAGGTAAACCACCCTCTGGCACTGTCTTCAGAAAGGACTAACCTTCTATAAGGGCACCAGGCGCTCAGTAATTTTCATTTCCCGAAGTTCCTGCTCTCTCTCCGGTTTATCTAAGGTTGGTCTGAGAATGCCTCTGCATTTTGCGCTAAGCCCTACCTAAATAACACATTTGAGTTCCATATCACAGAAGTCGGACATTTTGATGCGAGATATAAGCTCGTTGATAGCCACATCCTGTGTCCTTTTAACCCCATACAACCTTAAAACTGAAATATCACTCACCCTAGTCCACTAGTGCACAGGGACTGCCGCCCAGGCTGGAGAGAATTCCACAATAAGAACGAAGTCAAAAACCCTGGAAAAGTAATTACAATACGTGGAGATCCTAGAGGCAGACACTCCTAAGGGTGCGGACCGACACGCAATTCGCATCGAAGGATATGCCCCGGCGATCTAGCATGGCCTTTCCCGCGGCCCAATTGGCGCGCTATTGGCCGGTACGCCCCCTCTCGCGTCGTCTCGTGTCTGAGTCTAGCCGTTCAGCAGAGAGAGCGTTAGCGTTGAAGAGGGCAGCAGCGATGAGAGTCGCATCAATGCGCAAATCAACGAGCAAGGAAGTTGTGAGAGACCCATATCGTAACTTGGCAACAACCATGGTTCTATTATATTTTCACCCCATAACACAGTTCTGTTCTGATAACAGCAGCAAGTACCCTAATTTAGCTAAGCTCTAGCCAATGTCACGTTAAAACACCTCTGCTCGTGCAAACCCATCCTTATGTGCACCTAGACTACCTTAACGGCTAGGGCTTATCCACCGGAAATTAGGGGGACTGCTTTGGCCAGAATAAATGCCAGCGAGCTAAAAACTCGATATAAAAAGTAAACACTCTGCCATCGCAGTGTTTCGAAGAATGAGTAGTGATCATGTCCCGTTGCGATGACCTTGAGCATTTGCAGCGCACGCAGCAACGATACTGAGTGATCATATTGTCTGGCACAGAATGCCGCAATGCCTTCATCGCATCGCATAGCGGGTCTCTTGGCAGGCACCCACGGAATATAATGGAGTCTTCCGCGATTGAAGAATCTGATTTTAACTAAGCCTACAAACAACCTTTGGTTTTACTAGAACAGTGATTCCCCATTAAAGTTTTCTGGATCAAACTGCGACACGACTGGGTCAGGCTAAGATTCGACAAATGGGAAGGCCTCGAGAGATCTCACACAACATAGAAACGTCTGCCTTTCAACAAACTCCTCATATCATTTATTTCCACAACACCAACAACAAAATGAAGTACACGTCTTCGGTATAGAGGTTAACTAAGCTGCTCTGAAATGCGAAATCGCAATTTTTCAACAAGAGAGCAAAAAAATAACTAGATACAGGGAGATGCTCAGAAACTCGAAAACGGATAAATGTAACGGTAGCGTGACTTTAATGATGCAGCAAACATACAGACAAACAAAAAAGTCAAAGTCATTAGAACGCTACTTACAAACAACTAAGCTCTGGAGTACAACCCTTCACTCACGACAGTCTCCAAGACATTGGGATCGATATCAGCACTGGAGAACAGCTCTCGCCGAAGATCATCAGTAAACTCGTGTAGATCCGCTCCATGCTATAACGAACGCATAAAAATGATTGTTTTAAGGTATTTCTAAGGAGCTCTAGCTTTGCCAAATGTGAGGTATACAAATACCTCAGCACGCAACAAATTGAAGAAAATAGTTAAAGAGAGTTTTTCGCAGATAAAACCTCCAATTCTGCTCACATATAGCTTTGCAATGGAAAGGAGGACTACGTTATTTCTATAAAGCAGTTTAAAAATTCACAACGTTTGTAGCAACCCAACATTTTCATGGACCTAAAAAGATTAGTTTCCAATATTTAGCTAAAATGGAGAGCCGAAAAGAATATTGCTTTTTTATCGAGATGGTATATGTGATGTTAGGCCAGCTGTCGATATATAGTTGAAACATGGTGTCAAATTTCACTGCAGACAACGTATAAGGAGGAATTCACGATAAGAACGAAGGTCAAAGAAGGGAAAATTGCATAGTTGGGAGACTCCTGAGGGTGCTGACCGACGCGCAATTGGCAGCGAAAGATTTGACCTCGGCGATCTAGCATGGCTCGGTTGGCGGGGTACGCCCACCGACTATCTAATCACTCGCCGCAGGTCTATACGTGGCGAGTGATTAGATAGCAGAGAGAGCGTAGTGTTGAAGAGGGCACAGCGATGAGAGTCGCATCAATGCGCAAATCAACGGGCAAGGAAGGGGTCCCATTTCTCGGGTTTGGGCCGTTTCTTCATCCTCCTCCACTGACCACCTCTACCCTTATTTCCAATGAGCTAACTTTTCATCGTAAATTCTGTTTTAAGTGAAATGCCAATAAAACAACTTTTCAAAATGCACATCTCAGGGCCAAATTTCACCCTATTATACAAAGCACTCCGCGAAAATCCGTATCACTGGCACAAACAATGGTAAAAAGCATAGAAAAAAAAGAAAGTAGAGGGAACTATTTACCATAAGAAATATTTGCTTGAATCGACCATTGATCCATGAGAAATACGGTGTTCTGAAGTCTGTTCCTTCTGTTTCACAGTGAACTATGAATTCTGTTAACAACACTGTGAATTTCTAAAAGAAATAAATATATTCAAAGCACACTAAGCGGAAGAGCTTCATATTGATGGCTACCAAAATCTGATCTGCTTACATGCAACACATCAAGGAAAAGCGACTTTTGAAAATCCTTCAGATTGTCGAGCTTTTCTTGCTGCTGCTCCAGTTCCTCTTGTTCGCGAGGTTTGACTTCAGGGTCTGCCATCTTGAATGTTGTCAGTTAAATCTTGAAAACATGCCAGGAACTTCAAAAGGGGAAAAACTACCTCCTCGCCATCTTCGAGGCGTTGCTTGTCCACCCTCTTTTGTAGGATGTCCACATCATGAGCAACTTTGTGGATGTGGCGCGATAGACGTTCCAGAGCAGTGTT